AGAACAAACTAACCCATCAAAAACCACCAACTAAACGATCTTTAAAAAAAATTTAAGCGATCTTTCAGAACAACAATTTTTAGAGACCCGGTTTAAAAAAAATAATATTTTGCATTAATTCCCCCCCCCCCACCCCCACCCCAATTTTTGCCAAATTTTCTCCTACAATACTAATTAAAAAAATTGTAAAGCAATTAAAATTACTTTTATATTAAAATAGTAAAATCCAAAGTATTCATTAGATCAAGGGTCTCAAACTGAAATCATCAAGGGGGGGGGGGGCGCAGGAGGTAGTGTCTGAATGAGAGTGGGCCGCATCAAGTAATCCACAAAAAAGCGATTACAACTGTTACAATCTGCTCAACCTTTATAAATAACAATAAAATCATTAAGGGTTGTCAAGAACTAGGATTCACTTTCATCCACCTATTCACTGTTGAATACAAAAATTTATAGAAACATTTAAAAAAAAATCAGAATTAGACTAGTCGGTGAGCATCGACTGAAACCGTCGTGGAGAGTCATGTTATAGATATTAGAATGGGGGAAACGGGCCGCGCATTTACACTAAACTTTTCTGTCACGTAGCGGGCCGCAAAATATCGTCTTGCGGGTCATAAATGGCTCGCGGGCCGCGAGTTTGAGACCCTTATAATAGATGTTTATTTATTAATATTCATGATTATCTCATTTTTTATAAAAAGAATGTAAATATTTATACTTTCCCCATCATTTTCGATATATGCAGAATGTATGCGGGAACGAATTTCAAAATATCTTAACATTTCATTTTCGGTTTCGGCTTCGGCTTCGGTTTCGGCCGAAATTCATTTTTAACTTTCGGCCTTTTTTCGGTTTCGGCCGAAAGTCATTTTTAAACTTTCGGTATTTTTTCGTTTTCGGCCGAAAGTCATTTTAAACTTTCGGCCTATTTTCGGCTTCGGCCGAAATCAGAAAATCACTTTCGGTCGGTCTCTAGTTTATATATAATTATAATAGTTACCTTTTTTATTCAAATGATAATGATGTGTGCTTATGAATGTGTAAGGGGTTGTCCTTTTGGGAGTTCGCCCCGGGCGGCATTTTGTCAAATCTGCCCCATAGGCGTATAAGGTGTATAAAGAATATCTTAGATGTATGGTATGAAAAGACTAGTAATCATTAGTAGCCCTACAGACGCTTCCCATCTTACAAACGTTCCCGTATACTAACGTTAATGTATCCAAAATTTCACCAAAGTGAGCTTTCCACTTATAAGAACAAAGCTGTACTCAAGTGATTTTTCTGGGCGAGTCTAAAAGAAAATAAACAAACGGAATGTAGCGAATGAATCTATTTGATGCGTACTGCGATCCACATGGGTGAGCCCCACAATTGGCCACAATGAACCCCACAATTTTCCACAAATGAGCCCCACAATTTGCCACAAATGAGCCCCACAATTTGCCACAAATGAGCCCCACAATATGCCACAAATGAGCCCTGCCCACATTTTGTTACCAATGAGCCCCGCCCACAGTTTTCCACAAATTAGCCCCACAAAATGCCACAAATGAGCCCTGCCCACATTTTGTTACCAATGAGCCCCGCCCACAATTTGCCACAAGTGAGCCCCGCCCACAATTTGGTCACAAGTGAGCCCCGCCCACAATTTTTTCTACAAGGAGCCCCGCCCACAATTTGCCAGAAGTGAGCCCCGCCCACAATTTGCCACAAGTGACACATTCCACAAATGAACCCCACAGTTGTCCACAGCTGTCCAGTGGGAATACCCTGACAACCCTAACGAACCGCCTACTCCCCACCACATCCTCCCATTCCTCAAAGACGACAAGCCAAGGTACGTACAGCATGGTCAAGTCATTATTTGAGCATTTATCATTTTAATACATTTTTAAATTTATAATTTACTCTATTTAAAATGTATTACTTATTTGTTTTAGTATTTAACACCAAAAATGTGTTTATTTTATAGTATTTATAGCTGTTATTTTACCTTTAGGAGATATGAATAGTCATTGTACAAACCAAATCTTGGCTACAAACGGTCGGAACGTAACGCGTTCGTAGGGTGGGGTGGGGTAGGGGGGTGGTTTCTGTATTTAAATACCGGAGGGGAAAAAAGAAATGCTTGAAACCATGGGAATATATTTGGGACTATAGTTGGCGTAGGATGGGTGAGGTGGAGG